GGTGCAATTGTACAGTGTTTCGCTATTTCTGCAGAAATGGAGATTTATTGGAGATGCACAAACGGTGACAACAAACACCACAATTGGGCGTCATATTGTGGACGAGAATTCGCTGCTTTGTGAATTATTTCCTCTCGCCAGGCTTTAGTGTGTTATGAGAAAAAAACTTCTTCCATAAATTTGGCACAATTTCACCCAGTTGAATCTAGACTGCGAGAGGCAATTCCACACTTGCCAAAAAATCACCGTGAAAAGTACAATCTGACCGAAAATATTTAGAACAGTCTGCACAGACGGTGAATGTTGTTTCTGCGGTTTTCCTAGAGGAGTTCAGAACATTTCTGGGTTCACTGTACAAAATGGGCAGTAAAAGCAAGGGTGAATGGCACAAAAGGGGTTGACTATATGTTATGGGGCAGGAAGAATAAAGAGGAATGTTAAAAAATTCATGAAACATTTTTAACTGTGTACGTTAGCCAAGGCGCTTCGAAGATACACCGATTTTTTCCAGGAATTGATTATATTTACTGTGGATTTGGGAACCTAAAATTTAGAGTACATCAAGACGAAAAACCAGTAGTAGATTTTTGAGGGATCTTTATATTGATTTTTACTTCGTATGGCAAAAATCAAATAATTAAAATTTGAAGAAACTGATTAAAAAAAAATTATTTTGCAATAACAATTTAAAAATTGAGTATTTTTGACAAAATATTTAAAAAATATATTCAAATATATTCCGATTGTTTATAATTAATAGCAAATTAAAAAATGGGTCAATTTGGCAGGCTTCAACGCTTTGAAATAGTCTGGAAACCACTATAATTTCCGGCTAAATTCTACTCTGAGAAATACAATTGGAACTTCTAAATGCCTTTAGAGTTTAAATTGCTGCCCTCTGGCGGTAATATGTGGAGAAAAAATCAAATATTTGAATATTTTGTAGAATAATCAAAAATTGATTGACATTTTTATGGAAAAATCTAAGATATTTAAAGAAAAAAATGTCTCTTTGTATTTTCCAGTCTCTGTATATCGCCGAAACATCTTGCTGTTGAGTTAATGCCCTTGTTTGTTTTCCATGCATCTTTTGTGGTTATTTTTCCACCAAACTTCGTATTCACTAAATAATTTTTATCCGTGGATAAATATACGCTCTGCTCACACAATATATAGTCGAAACAAGTCCAGAGTCACTGTTGTTGTTGTTTTTTTCCCTCTTTCCCTTTGCAACAAAGGCCGGAAAGTGTGTTGCGAAATGGAAAAATTCAGGTGAAAACGATTTCACAGAGATACTGAAAAATTTATTAGTCTACTGCTTATGGAAGTGGAAAAGACTTAGTGTTTCAGCAAAGGAGACAAATAAGATTTGCAGCGCCGACAAACAACGAAGCGACACAACATTAATTGCCTTGTTAATATGGGCAGCTAAATGCAATATTTCACCATTTTTATCAAAAGACATAAATGTCGGACAGAAGTGAGGGGTTCTCAGGTCTTGGGAGAGAAATTATTGCTGTGTGTCGTGTCATGCTAAATTATGTGTGAACCCCACATTAAATATATTAATCCCGGAGATTAGTTATTATTAGGCTTAAGTCTTGAGTCTCTCTCTCCACTCGGGGAGTCGTAAAAAAAAAGAAGTTGAATGATTCTGACAGATGTGTGAATAATGAAGATGGTTTTTGGAGGAGAAGGAATTTCTTCCACGAAAACACTAAAACTTTTCCCTCCACCAGTTGGAATGTACAAAAGGTTAGGCATTTGGGTTAACACACAGGCGAGAGCGCAGGAGCTTTTAATAATAATGGAAAAACATGGGGCAAAAGGAGGAGTGATATGGGAAATTTTCTCATGCGAGAGAGAGCGAGAGGCGGCAAAAATACATCAGCTGTCTCATTAATTAATTTGTGTTTATTGTTTGCTTCCCATCGTCTCACTTAATTGGCAAGCATGTGAAACTTCACAAACTGCGCGTGTTTATTTTTATCCAAATGCGTGAGCCTCGATGGGCGGAGTTTTTGGGTGGGTGCCGCGAAGGAGAAATATTTTCCAAAAAGGTGAACTTTTCAAAATACCCCGCGACAGCGGTTGTGAAAGGAGGTGGGACATTCTCATGTGGCTACAAATGAAAGATGTTTTGACATACAGAATCTATTTACGTGGGACAAGAGGCGATGAGAAGCTGTCCACCCACCATTTAAGCGAGCATAAAAAATGTCGGATAGTTAAAATAGTTGGAAAAAAGCAGAGTTTCCACAATGATGCCCTTTGATCACGTGAAATTGCTCATTTAGGTGGCAGTGAGTGCATTAATTTCCCTCATCTCCTCATCGTCAATATAGTTTCCAGTGTAAAAAACACTCAAAGCGAGAAGTTCATTCTGGATTCACACTCTTTCCCACTGATTATGCTTCCTTAAATAGATCAGTGCGGAAGAAAAGTTTTGCGGAGAAATATTTAAAATTGAAATTATCTCAACTGACTTCGTAGAAGTTTCCCATCATTTCCACATGAAATTAAATGGTAACCATCCGGAAATTTTGTCAGTTCAGAAAGTTATTAAAAGCATTTTTTGTTTCCTTGACTTGGTGGAGAACTTGCACGATTCCCAAGAATCTCTTCATTCATAAATCACGAATAAACGATTTGTTTTTGCACCGCAATCTCCATCAGTCCGGTTTTCGTCTGTTGATTGCGAATAATTCATGAGAAGATATGGAACTTTTGAACTTGCCAGAAGAGAATTGTTGGCTGCATCAAATTGCGATTAATCACTGAACGCTAGTTTGGCTCAAAAAGAAATAATTTAGAGGGTGTTTTAAACCATTAGCCGTTTTTTTGGGGCAATTAATTAGAAAATCTAGATAATATTTATGTGAATTTTAGACGGTGTCTTCGCACTTCATCGTCTTGAGCACGATCTTTCTTCACCTTTTTCACCCACTAAGTCAGAATTTTCCTCTCCATCTATAAATACAAATTACCCGCTTCGTTTCATCTGCATGATTTTCCACTCCTCTTCTTTCCCATGTGATTTACAATTCTCCCTGTCTTATGTGTCACGCATATGTGACTCTATTTTACTATGCCATAACTCGTCCACACTATTTGACCATAACTCCAAATGTTTTTACTTGCGAGCAGTCGCACACAGAGTTTTCATAAACATCCAAGCACACAGACAACATCCCGTGCGGAGTGGCGAAGGGAGCGTGAAAAGAAGGAGAAATTGCCACATTATGGTCTCCTCACATTTTCTCCTCTGGCATAAACCAAGAGATTGTGTTACACGATATAAGTTCAAATACGCCGTGACGAGGTGGTGAAATCAACACACCCGCTGATACTACTTCGCATAATCATCAGCAAATAAGAAGTTGAGGGCGAAGTGGAGGAAAAAAGCACAGTTCCATATAGTTTTGTTTGCCCTATAAATTACTCTCATTTCCAACCCCCTCATCAAGGAGGAAATTTATTTTTAATAAGTTACAAATACCCCCAAACCACGACTGTGACTGTGCAAATCGCACGACTTTCTTATCCTCCCGCCTAACACTTTTCCACCTGCGAACCTCACCCTTGGGGGGATGGGGGGTGGGAAAAGGGTTTGCATACCACGCCAGAAATTATGGTAGCGTGATACGAGCGAAGTGCGCGACAAGGAAAAAAAAAAGCTCCGTAAAGGAGTGAACAAAAAGCGGGAGAAGTTGAAGAAAAAGCAAACATGAAATAGTTACTAATCGCCATGATTATCATTAATATTTCACTTTGTTTAATTAAAATATATTTTTCTCTCTAACTGCTCTCCTCGCCCCCTGTTAACTGGTTCTTTATTGTTATTAAATTGTTGTGGTCACAACTAAAGTGGGGTTGACTGAGTTGAGTAAACTGAAAGTGCGTTCTTTCGAGTGACTAATGGTGAGCAAATATACAGTGAAATACGTTGGGATTTTTCTAAATTTCCCCAACATACGAAAGTTGGCATGTTTTTGGAATCGCCATGGCGCTTAATGTGCGGAATTAAGGGCAATTCAAGGAGGAGATATCACTACATCTGAGCGTATTTAAAGGCATTTTTAGACTTTTTCAAATACTTTTCAACCTCATTTCCATCTTTTATCACAATTACATAATCTAATCCAGGTTTTCTGCCTCTACAGGTTTAGGCTTCTTTTTTGCCTTCGGAAAAAGTGCTTTAAAAAATTCTTACCAAAATGTGAGGTTATAATTCAAGACAAAGGAAGGATTCTTAGACTAATTTAATTCTTTTGAAACATGGAAATGAGTAAATATGGCGAATATCTCAATGTTTCTACTAGGATGTCGAATTTTTGTTAGTCTGAAATGACATTTTTGAGGTTATGTTTGGCTTTTAAGCTCTTTCCTGCTACTGTAATTTAACTAATCTGCAGTTATTCGAACTCAAATGCTCAATTGTGTTGAGACAAAAAAAAATAATCCCAGCTCAGAAATTTGATTATTTTGAGGGTTATTTAACCGCCAGAATATGACATAACCTAGAAAAATAATAAAATTTGTTTTTATAACCAAAATAATACATAGATAATGCCTCAATTTGTTCAAAAATTCGAAATGTTTCAACAATTCCAATTCCCAACGCTTCTGACCGTAATATCTGCCCCTTGGGACAATTGGCGTGCATGTTTGAAGCTATGGTTCGAAGTTGAATTTACGCTATATTTTTCATAAATTCTCACTTCCCGCTTCCCTGAAATCTCTGCCCATCAGACGCCCTTCCATCCATTTAACTCACCCAATTATGTGGGTTAACGCTGGCGGAATTTCATCAATCGATGGATCATCGATTACTAACCGTCATTTGCTCTGTTTATAGTGTCGCCCCCGCTCAATTTGGGTGCGGATGGGCATGACGTGGTGTATGTGGGACAATGTGAGTGTGAGGGGAAGTAAAAATTTTACTGGGTGGAAACATGGATGGAGAAGTATGTTGATAATAGAGAGTGTGTGTAACTTACCTATAAAGCACGACATCAGCAAAAATGCCATCCACTGGATGCTTTTCAATTCTCTGGGGATCATGATGATGTCAAATGTGGGGTTGGTCTTTCACAATTTTCTTCGCCAAGCACAATTGCTATTATGGCGTGCGTGTATCTATATTTTTGATTACAAATACCCAATGATGTAACGCAGCATTCTCTTTCTTCTCAGCACCAATTTATGTTTATTGGAATTTTATTCACATACACACAACACATTTTGATTGCTATCTCTCTTTATCCTTTCCTCACTGTTCCTTTTTTGCATAGTCTCGCCAAATGTTTCGAAATTTCGTCACCACTTTCTTCTTATCCACAGAATGGCAATGTTTTTGGGGGGTGAGAAAATGCCGCTGAAGCACCAGGGGAAAGACTATCTTTGTGCGCGCACCTCTCAAGGAGGTCTCTCGTGATCACATCATCAATTATGTTAAATGATTTGGAGGATAATTAGCGGAGCTCTCTCGGGGAGACTCTCACATGACTGTTAACATTTGCCACATGGCACTGAAGACGTGTCTTTGCGCTGAGAGTGACACTGTGAGACGCTGCACGATCGCTTTAAGATGCTGCTGACTGCTTTGTATCGTTTTCAGGCGACTCACTTCCTCCTGTTACGTCTGGGGAGTACGCGTTAAATTGTCTGCACAGCGGCTAATGATGTGACGGTATTTATAGCGCGACGCTATTTTTTCCTAGCAGCCAAAGAAGACGTCTTGAGGAAATTTGGACGTGAGACTTTACGCAATAATTGCCTATGTTTACCAAATAGACCGTCCAATGGGATCACATGTGATGGGAAATTCTTCACTTTGACACTCAGTGTCATGCAGAGCGAGGGCATAAATCAACACATGGCCCACAATTTCACATCCACACACACACTCTGAGGTGAGAGAGAAGGGTGAATTGTTGTCTTTTTGCCTCCAAAATGATTTCCACGTCCTTTTTCCCCGCACTTTCCACCTTCTCGCGTTGTGGTTGTTTGCCACGAAGTCTTTTTCCTCGGGAATTGTTGATGTGGAAACGCGTGGAGCGCAAATCCTTTTGATCTGTTTCCCTTTTGACGCTCTCGTTTTACACTCTCAGTATCGAATTTTCGTATGCGGTAGAGGATTATCAGCCAGAGTGTGATTCCTTAGCACGAGAAACGACACAAAAATGACGATGTTTAGGGAATTGATTGTTGGATTAAATGTCTTGGGGACAATTCACTGGCACACAAAACATGCTGGAAGTCGAAGCGACAGCCTCAGTTTTTCACACCGTTTCGCAATCAATTCAGTGTGGGTTTCAAGTTCGTCAATAGAGCTCTCGTCAGCGATTTTTCCTCACTGTCGATAATATTTATATACGAAAACACAATAAACACGTGTCTCTCATGGGCCTTTCACTATGGCGAGGGCAACTTCTTTGGGGGGCACAAAAGAGGGCGCAGAGAAATCTTCACACGTGCCCGAGAAGCTGCCAGGGGTTGTTTTTCCTCTATTCGCCACGTTTTATGTCTTTCATTGAATCCAATTCAAAAAGTCATTTTTACCCTCGGCATTCCATTGAGGCAGATCTCTAGCATTCTAGCCTCGTACTTCGCCTTTCCAGTGCTAAATTGCAGGCGTTTTCCGGGGGAGGCTCAATTGAGAGCCATTTGATCAATGTATTTCGACACCGTCTAATGAATTTTCCACTCTGAAATTAAATAACAAATAAGATATTGTCAGTGATAAATTATTCTTCTGTGTGACTTGAGTCCCTGTGGCAGAATTTGGCAGGTGTGAGTTTGGCAAGGAAGCTTTCTTCGCGCAGTGAAAAGCTCCTAGTGAAATTGCCAGGGATGAATTTCATCATTTAGGATGAAATTATCGTCTTTTGCTACTGAGAAAGAGAGAATGGCAATTTACCGAACAATTGAGCCATTTATCTCGTGTGGAAGTTTTGAAGCTTTTCAGTTTGCCCCCCAAAAAGGTGGAGCATGCGAATTGCAATTAGAGATGGAATGGTGGCCCGAAATTTTCCTCCCTCTTGAGCGCGATGGAACTTTGACGATTTTGCCCTGAAAAGTTTGAGGGTGGCGCTCAAGAAAATTGCTATCGGATTTCAGGGTAACAAAATACCTGTCTGATTTGCCATTGCTTTTTATTTTACATCCGAAATACCCCCTATTTGGCAAATCACGCCTCTCACCGTGTCTCTCCTCATGTCTACGCATAGCGATTTTGTCAGTCAAAAGCATTTTCCGTATTGATTGGGCGAAATGTGAGCTTTAGCCAAGGGGCAAATATCTATTGGATTGTGAAGAGTCAGAAAAGTCAATAAAAGTGGGTGTTTTTCAGTTTGAGGGCAGATGAATGTGCGTGATATTTACTCTAAATGGGTGGATGTCAGTTTTCGGAGGCGTGTGGGGTGAATTTTCAAAGCAGGCAAAGGTTCGTACAATGACCCTTATCGACTTATCACTGTGGAAGATGGAAATTTAATACTCAACCTCTGAATAAGCTTCGATTCTTGCGAATTTTGCTTTCCAACTTGCTCTAACAGCGCAATAACGAAACTTCTTGTGCAATAGATTTGTCCAAAGGCAAAGAAATTCCTTGTAAAGTCATTTTGAAGTTCATGACCAGAGAAACATTCCCGAAGCTATGGTAAATAATGACTTAAGACGAAATACGATCCACGGACAGCATCTTTGTCTGAGTTCATGCTAGAGATTAAGTAAGCATTGATTTAACTCATGATTTACTTGTATGAATGTTTCTCATATCTTTTAAATGTTTTTCACTTAAAAATCTTTACGAAAAGTTCAAGTAGAGTATGAAAAGTTGATTTTATAGAACTTGTTTGGATAAAATCGATTCGAAGACTATTAAAAATCGACTTTGGAAAGTAATATTTTCAGATTTTCTCTTAATTTTACCATATTTTAGTCAAAAATTTCAATAAATCCCAATAAAATCAATTAAAATATTCACAAAATAATAAATACAGAACAATATTTGCCCTTTAACGAAAGATTTGAAGGCGTTTTGAGGGTTTTGAAGTCGATTTGACCTTCTTCTTATTAACCTTCTCCAGCTCATTTTTGGACTATTTCTGTACTCAAAATATGTTAATGCTGAGCAAAGTAGAATCGCTGGTCAATAAGTGAAAATGTATTTATTCACTTTTCTCCTCAAGATCTCTTTCACCGATAAGCATTATTGTTTGTGGGGAAAATACAGAAATAGACTTAATGATGAACGTATCGACATTTGATTTGCCGTATTATAAACATCATTGCCTTCTTAATTGTCAATTATTTATCTATTTATTGCTGAAATGATTCCTCCTTGGGCGGGATTTGGCGGAATGTCGTTGAAAGTGAAAGACACAGTCAAGTACACATGTGAAAATAATGATTTCACGTTGTCAAACGATATCGAAAAAAGGGGTGAAAGGCAAAGACACTCCCCGGCTAAGGAAATGGGATCGGGACAGGAAAGCTATACAATTTCCAATTCTCAATTGAAATTTTTCTCCATTGTGTGGAATGAGCATGAATTGGTGGCGGAGTTCGGAATAGAGTGGATGATGAGATTGCGAAGAACATTCATCTCTTCGCACTTCAGCCTCGGGACTGTGGCGCGTTGAGGGAAAAAATAGGTGAAACACGCGCGAATTAGGGGCGAGGGAGGTGGTGAGGAGGGTGGAACTTTTCACTTTGACAAAACTTCTTGCCCTCTTCTCTTCAATATCACTCAATGCGCACACCTTTGCCTTGGCTTGGGGGAGTGGAAAAGCCCTGCGGAGGGTGGAATTTTATTTTATTTTTATGTGCGTGTGTGTCACACTGGGAATTACTCCTTTAAGGGATAATACAGTCGTCGATTGGTGTCGTCAGCGATGTGAGCTGCTCTCTCCCACTCTGGCGTGCTTGAGCTTCACAATGGGAACAATGTGAGGAGCATTAATTTTTTTATTCCTCAGCCTGTGGTGCCTTTTCTCAGGCTTGTCCCATTGCGGTTGAGGCATTCTTGGAATAGAAATGATCCATTTTGTCAGGCCTCCCCAAACTCCGGACAAGGACACGCTTTCCTCCCTCTGCTCGGCACTGTCAAGAAGGGGGTTTGGGGCGATGTTTTACCAATTCGCCCGTATCTCTGTCTCTGCTTTTATTCCACCCTTCATCGACATTTCATCCGCTGTCGGAGGCAAAAAAAGGCCAACCACCCATCACATCAAATATGATGTGTGTTTATTTCCACATGGAAATTGAATGCTTTTTAGTTTCCCCCGGCTTTTCACTGTGCGTGAGCTCATGGAGAGCTTTTGTATTATTTACCGTATTTGTGAGTTCAGGGGGTGAAAGCTCCCTCTCTCTCCCTCTCACACCCCAATTCGTCATTGTCTATTGGGATGCCGAAACACAAAACCCCCCTTTAGAATGGATTAGCCACAATGACATCACTCAGTCACCATTTCTATCCAATTGCTTCATGTCTTTTGAATTTCATGTCAGCATTGCTATAATTCACCCTCATGGAACATGGCAATATTTTTTCCTCCTGTCCTCCCATATCTGACTCGTGTTTGCCATTTTCTCACTGCCAACATTCCACACTTCTCGCCACTGTTTGTAATGAAATTGTTCTAAAATTAGGAGGGTGAGTGACACTGAGGAAAAACACCAGAAATCACCAGTGAGAATTATTTGCCACTGGCTGTGGTGAAAGTTCTGTGCATCGGGAAAATTGCGGCTCGCAAATATTTTAGTGGGATTCTCACTTTATGGGCTATTCTAAATGGTTATGTTGGTTTCGGAGAAGAATTCTGAAATGCTGATCCACGCAAAGTTTCATTAAAAAAAAATGTGAAATTTAAATGTTTCTGTGGATATTTCATTTTAATATAGCGCATGAAAATATTATGTGTGTTTTTTTCTTTAATTCTACTGTATGCAGATTAAATAAAAATAAATCAATTAACATTTATATAAAATATATCCGTACACGGGCGCATAAAAATCAAATCATATTAATGCATTCCATGAGTTCTGGCTGTTTTATCTGACAATAATATCCAATTTGACCGGACTGAAGTCATGCAAATGTGGATCTGATTCATTATTAAATCATGAATATGAATTTCATATCCAATAAAATCGATTTCCTCTGCATGTGTCCTTCAATCTCGCTCCTAAAATTGCCTAAATCCAGTCAAGAGACAAAACAATAGGGAATATTTGCCAGCAATGCCTTGTCCAGTCGTTTTTAATATTTAACCATGATTGACAGATGCAATCAGAGGGAAAAATGACAAATTGCCTGACTATTCACCCCTTTTTCTGATGGATTTTCAATTGCCGGTGCTTGAGGGATTTTTCCAGAGGGAGACAGAGAGAGAGAGAGAGAGAGAGTCGCGAGGAAGTTGGAGATTTTCCTCATATTACTGGATCTTTTCGCCCCTCTAGGAGAGATGCCTTCAATTATGCATGAGTGTGTTTGAAGCCCGTGCCAGAATTCCACCCCATTTCGCCGTTCCTGGCAATTTTCCAACGGCTGACGGATCCCGTGGAAGCCCATGAGGGCCACCCTGCACAGAGAGAGAGAGTGCGTACAATGTGGAATGGAAAAAGGGAGGAAAATTACACTCGATGAAAAATCCCACAGAGGAAAATCGTTAAACATTTTTCTAAATTTGTTCACTACCCCTCGAGCAAAATTCACCATCCGACAAGCAGTGCGATGGAAGATTCTGAGCCAAGGTGGGTGCGAAGGGAGGGAAAATAACAACGCTGAGACATGGTGAATGTATCTTCCTCTGTTGGGGCGCCAAAAAGCCAAAAAGTGTGTAGCCGAAAAAAGTGGCGTGAATGTGGGCCGTGCAGACTTCATTGAGGGCCAACATCGAAGCTCTTTCATGTGTAATGCCAGGGTAATTAAGCCATGGTCGGATGTGAGACGATGGATCTCGTGGAGGATATTTGCGTGCTCCGTAAGCCCTCGAAACCCCGGAAGACTAAAGCACCCGCACGCCCTTCCTAGATAAATTGTATGCGGCATTTCAGCGCTTTCGCATGAGGGGTTAATCCCATTTTCAATTACCGTACAAGATTCAACTTATTAATGTGCAAAATTACCTGAGACTTTAATGGGCTTCTCTAGGCATTTTCCACCCCAGAAATTCATCGATTTCCCCAACAAGGAGGCTGCATGTCAGGATGTGGACGAGGTCTGGGAGGATTTGAGGCAAATGTCCGGGGAAAATTCCGCTCAATTTGGTGATGTGTGTGTTTCTGTATATAGCGAAAACTTATTTGATCAGAGACTGATGTCTGTTTTCTGCCAAGTTTTCGACAACTCCCTGATATAAGGATGTTGTCATGCGGGTGGAACGGGGAGTCCCTCGGGGAATTGTTAAACACATACTGTAGGTCAGTGGGAGACAAGAAACTTATAAGTACATTAATATGTTTTTAGTGCCATCAAACACAGCGTGCAGAGGTCGCAAGTATACTTCAAATTGAATGAAACGGAGAACTATTGAAAATAAGTCCACAAACTCAACTTGATAAATACTTAGGAAGCATTCAAGGGGGAGAAAATATGATCAGAAATGGTGTACACATCAGTAGAAGTTTCAGCATGTGGGAGTGTTGCAATTTATGCAATATTTGGTTCATATCTTTGATTTTTTCTTAAGTCGTGTCTTAAGCAATCTATGAAATTTGAAATTCTGGAAAATGTTCAGAATCTTTCATACAAATTGTGGAAGTGTCAGAAAGTGGTGTACAGATTTTAGCCATATTATCTTCCCTTTGGAACCATCAATAAAGCAACAATGGAAGGAAACTAAGAGAACAATGAGGGCATTGAAATCTTGTCCAGCAGAAAAGTTTTTCTCTCCCTCAGAGACGCCAGATAAAGATTTTCACTGCTGCTTTCCACGCATATCATTGATAAATAGCCAGAAACATTCGAATATTAATTCCTTTTTGTCCCCCATAAAATATTAATCTGCCCTGTTGGAAATATAATTAATAGACCACCGTGTAATTTAACAATATGTAGTGAAATTTCACGCGATTTCTGTCACTTGCAGTCCTTCATCTTTAGCCCTCGACACATGGGCGCGCCCTCTGAAAGGGGTGTTCGTCTGTTTTTATTAAATTTTCACCGTAAATACTTTTTCCGTGAATGAGTAATATTCAATTTTCGTGACTGACGAATCTCCCTTCTTGCACGTCGCTTTTCAACCCCTCTTGTAATATTTTTTTTACTGGCAGGGGCAAAACGTGTTATTCTTGAGAGTGAATGGAGAGAATGATATGTAAGGCTATTAGCTCCTGTGAGGAAATCCAGTGGATGGGAAATGGGCCACGAAAGAGCGCGGGGGTCGTGGAAAATTTTGTCGTGCGAATTTCATTTTTGACACACACACACACACACGCGGTGTGAATCGAGTGGCGGTGAGGAATGTATAAAACATACTTTTCCTCCACAGTGTGGGGGATGAAGGGAGTGAATGTGTGGAAAGAATGTGCGTGATGGAAGGAAAGGTGAAAGTATGCGCGGCTGGAGGCATAAAAATGAAAAATGCTATGAAATAAATAAGAAGCAAGTTGCGTGTGTCGCACATCGAATCGTATTATGAATTTTTAATGCAAATTTGTACCATTTGTCAAATTGAAGAATATCCAATTAGATATCATTCCTTATTCATTCTCATATGTCTCACACAATCTCGGGGGAAATATTGCTGAACGACCAGTTTGCAATGCACATTCACTCTCTTTAATCATTGCAACTCTGATTGCTTTATGGACGCATTATTTGAAATTCAAGCATAGCATTCTGACCTTAATACCAACCTTTATTATCTAACCAAGCCGGAGGCTATGATTGATTTATTTCAAATCGCAAAATTGCTTTTATGCCGAATATAATCAGTGTATCATCAGTGAAATTTATCGGTTTCGCGCATTTCAGCAAATTATTGCTCTGGAATGTTTAACACTGGTCAAGGGATTGGATTAAACAATTTCGTAATGTTCATCACGCTAATCAGAGTTCAAATATGAATTTTTCATCACAATGCGATAATAACTGTGACGTGTCGGACGTGCTTCATTGATAGAGCAAGAATTGTCACGTGTTGATATTCGTGTCATTGCGTAGGACAAAAGGAATTGCTTCGAACTCTGTGTCTTAAGTGGGCATCTTTAAATATGCACAATGCTCGTACCTTTGAACTATGAATGGGGAGAAATTCTAAAGTTCGCTTTGAACACTTTGTGGGAGAACAAACTGGATATTCTATTAGTGCTTACTCGCCTACATACCACGGTATTCATGGGGGAGTCAAAGGGAAATTCAATGAGGGACGATATTGAGAGCAAAAGGTGTCAATATCCATGGTAAATTGTGCCACTGGGGAAAAATCCTTTGATGTTTGCCACAGAGACTGATAACGAATTTATAGCTGCAATTGCTGGCAATTCTCGCACCAACACTATCTCCACTCACATTTGCCACACATCCTTTTGCCAGGAGCTCCAAAGAGCCTTGCTCTCTTATCACCCCACAATCACTTGCACAGCCCAGTTGATGCCGCCCTGCCGGAGCAGCCGGAAGGCGAGCGATAGGGGATTTCGCACGCAGTAGGGAATTTTCCGGAACTGCGGGTCTCCTCAACTTGCCGGAGAAAGAAGGAAAAGCACGAGTTACACACCGATTGATGGTGTGCCATTAACCGACGTCGCGACGCAACTGAGTGGCCACACAACCAAAACGTTCCACTTAAGTCACTCCTGCTGCTCTTTGGGGCCAAAAACCCGTCCACACACTCTCTCACAGACGCTCTCTTCTGCATTTTCCGCTCTCTCACTTTCCCGGGAGGAGAAGTGCTGGTGGTGAGTTTCCGCGGCGCCAGTTTGTTTGGTTCAACAGCCAAGTACACGACTTCCTAAATCACTGTCAGGTGAAGATAATGGGAAAAAAACATCACTGGTGGATTATGTTGAGCCACAAACTGACACTAATTTGATTTCCCTGTCAGCATTTAATCCGCCAAATTAACGATAATCACCTCTTGGCACACTGACCCAAAACACACTGCCAAAGGAGAAAACGCTCAGAACATGCGCACGCGACGAGTGGTGAATTTTCCACGCCTCAAGATTTCCCCTCAGCGCGTTCTCTTCGCGAATGCTTAGCTCAAAATTCCACCCCCTTTTTCGCCTTTTTCCTGTCCATCTCTCGGAGGGTGAGTGCATGAAAATTTTCCTCCAATTGACTCTCGTGTCACCCACACAGTTCAAAGAGGTGGTGTCAAAACACAATCTCATTTATGGTAATTTTCCTCATGACATTTTCAATTATTTTTAGCGGAAATTTGCTCGAGGACGAATGCTTTGGGTGTTGGAAAAAAAACAATTTTTCTTCCAGTGCGTGAGATCAAAGGAAAACAGCTGCAACATTTGTGCAAAAGTCACAGTGAGACAAATAATTTCATATCGATGTTTTAGGGCTGAAAAAGATTTCCAATCCTAATCATCATTGCTAAATACCTTCTGTCAATTCACAAACACTTCCGCTTAAAGGGATTTCCATTGGGCTTCCGGTGTGGAAAGGGGGTCGTGAGGAGCGACGGTCAAAGTTTTGATGATGATTGGGGAAAATTGAAAGCTGCTCAATTTCCCATGGATTAAATAATGAGAAACTCCACGAATGAGATTTACATTGAACTGTATATGTGGATGTTTCGACATGGTGGACCGCAGCAAAATAGGGATGATTGTGGAAACTTTTGATTCGGTCCCCAATGATCAAATATATCCTGCCTTGTGGAGTGTAATTGGAGAAAATTCCTTCCGGTGAAATTTGTGAGCCATTAAATGAGGGGAGTTGATGGACCTTTTTTTCCCGAACAAAACCCCACACCGAAATGGAGGCTTCGGGGCAGAACAACCCTGGGAGTCTCTCTGTGTCTTCAACTTTATTATTGAGCACTCTGGCTGTGGCTGCAAATTCGGGGTTTGGGGGAAAATTGCAGGGAATATATTGGTGCGCAGGAAATCAAATGGTGTGGATTTTAATTAGAGCGAAATTCTTAAGTGTCCCAATAAAATCGAAGCAATTTTATCCTCCCATTTCCGCTGAGATTCTTTATGAGATTTCCTCTGCATTCTGGGCAACATATGTTCAATACACACACACACACCTCCAAATTGTGCTATTTACCCACCTAAAAGCACTGCGAAAAGCTCTTAGTGGATAGAGCGAGAGGGACTCTATGTGGAGGAAGTTTAATGTTTTCCTTTGAACTTGTTTATTGTTTTTCCCCAACGAAACGCGTTAATTACTTTTACCCAATAAATTTTATCGTGCACCCCTGGAAAATTTCAAATTCTCTGAATTTTCTCGCCATTTACCAAAACTCCCCCCAAAAATGTACTCTTTTATATACACAGCGCACCACTATGCAAAGTGAATGAGAATTGGAGAATCGTTGAGCTCTCCGGGTATTATTTTCCTTTACGTGCACTGCGGTATTCAGAGTTTATTGTTGTGGGAGGGAAATGGTTTGATTTCACAGAGTAATTGCTGTGAATATTCTTTTGGCACTTTTTGCATTCAATTTCACCTCCATAATTACTGTCAATTGCCAGTATTATGTCATTTTAAATACCTGCATGTAATTTTACATGCGCGATGTGAATTTTAATTCGCGGAAAATTGCTAATGCGAGAGCTTAATGTGTTTTGTGTCACTGTGGGCGGCAAAATGATATTTTGAGAAAATTGGTCATTCTCACACCTTTGTGCCTTTGTGCAGTAAACATGTAATACAATATGTATCCATTCATGCCAAATGCACAGCATATATTTCAGCCCCATTTGGGTTAGGTATGTATGGTCAATTTAATGAAAATAATTGGTATGGTGGCATCGCTCTATAAATTCCCTCCTTTGCATGGGGGAGACATAGTGTGGATGTTGTCATTGTGTGGTAAATTGCACGAGAGGGGATTTTCCTGACTGGAGAATTTTCCAAATAGCTGGGCGAAAGATAATTGTTGCACACTACAAAATACACATTCAACAATTTACACATCAAAGAGTGAATGCTAGGCAAAACACAGAGGCCGACATGAATAATATCTTATGCACATGATGGTCGACTTCACAGTAACAATGCTAATATTATTATTAAAATACTTTAGACCCATTCCTCCATCAGCCAGTCACTCACGTTATTTAGTGCAACTCCATCAACTCAAGTACATGGCTGAATAAATAGTGGTTTCACTTAAGGTAGGATGAGTTACTTTGTGATGTTCATTGTGACGAAAACATCCCTTAACTTGTTTCAATTATGACAGCAACTCCATGAAAAACACAACAAATTCACGTAAAATAGCCAATGAGTCTTAACATATTAACAGAAGAATAATCATCTAAATGAGTGCGTACACGGAAAAATGTATCTTCGTTCAAATTTCTGGCGGGTGCGCGCAGCATAAAAAAGTGAAACTTGTCGAGGGAAAATCCTGTTTTTCAGGCAGATGGAGAAGAAATATCGCTTTGACATATATGGGAGAAATGTAGCCCTATTAGCGCTCTACATGTAGGAAAAATAATCTAACATAAAAATATTTTCATTTCGGAGATGTGGTCAAAAAACTGGCGAATTTTTTACCGAGTGGCGCACAAAAAATCGTTTTTGACCAATAAGGAGTGATCTAAAATTCTCATAATGTTTTACAAAGTAGTAGATAATTTCAATATCTATCATTTGAGCCCAATTTGGGGAAAATCTGTGGAAAATTGGACGAAATATCAGCCCATATGTGCGGCAAAGTGGGGGAAAAATGGAAAATAGGCTACAGGAGGAAAACTTGAAGGTCTAGGGGCCCAAGTGAGGCATCGTTGGAAAGGTGATGAAATAAGGAATCTAAAAAAACCACATTTCAAAAAAGTGTAGAAATAAGTTCCCTAAGTAATTCTACTATTAGAGTCACATTTTCTGCTATGCAATTTCAACATAAATCTTAACTCACTTCGAATGTTTGAGATCGTTGCTCGCACTTTGCGTTGAGTTCTTGGCATTTAAAGTGTGGTTTAGTTACTAAAATATGCGTGAGTATGATATGTCGATGGTGACTGGTGAACATATTCTGCATTAACTGCAAATGGCTTAATTTATTGGCTGCTGCCATCGCACTTTGTCCGCATGTATTTCCTGTGAAATGTGTTATTTCGGGAAGCGTTTTAGGGTGAGAAAAGTATAACATGACACATTTTTTGATATTTTACAATGCAATTTATATTCTGCATGTCACATCTTGTTTTTTTGGTCCCAGCATTCACAAATTTCAGAATGTGAAACCCTCTCGCGCGCCAGAACATTTGTATTGACATGGAGAGTTTTGTCACGATGTTTTGGGGCGAGTTTAAATCAAATATTTGGACATTTGGGCATGAGTTGCTGGTGAATAGGCTTCAATCTAAAAAAGAGGCGCTGAATTTTTTCCACACCATCACAAGAGATGAGAAGCGCGGAAAAAAAACATTTGTGAAGCATTGTGATATTTTTCATTTGACGAATGAATGAAATTATTCAGTATTTATTTGCATTCGCAGTATAAAGTCGAGAGACTGGCCTTTGTGATTGATTCCACGTAAGCTTCAAATGATGCTGGATCAATTCTGCAGCGCTCTCAACTTTTACTAGCTAACAATCACTCACCGCTGGCTTTGAAAATTTGATCATTGATCCCATTTATTTTTCCGTGCAGCAAATTCATCTGTGAATTCTGTATATTTTGAACTAGTGAAATTTCATACGTCAAGCTTTTGTGTGTTTTACAGGGATAAGTAACAGAGCAGTTCGAAAACAGACAATGGGAGTTGGTTTATCTACAGCTGAATTGTGAAACTGAACTTGTTAATAGGACTTAAAATTTCCTGAAAATTCATTTAACATTCAACAAAACTATGTGAGCATTTCACATTATACAAAATAGTTTTAGACACAAATTTAATTTTGGATATTAGACTGTTGATTTTAATATTGATTTGACATTCTGTTCCAAGAACTGTTCCGAGTGGATTCTTTTGAATCTTAATATAGGTCGGAATTGATTAAAAATATATGAATGAGATGAAAGCAATTTTTTAGTAGACTTCGCACTGAATTCCTTCAGCCATATTGAATGTGCGGTGCACTAAAATTCACCCTTTGATGATGAAATATCTGGAAATGACCTCTCATTTCCTCACCAATCAGATAATTTCCCAAAATCGCCCACGGTCGTTTGATATCTCTTTGAATCGTACCCGTATTGACAACAGAATAAGCGTGCACTGCCAAATGCAAGGGGGAGATAATACCCCTAAAATGTGTACACTACATCCTGACACTTCCACAATTCCTCTGAAATATCTTCAACACTTCTGAACGCCTTGTAAAGGCATATTCCATCGCTATTTAAACTTATTCAACTGTCTCTTGCACTCATTTCTAACTTATTTTAATATAATCCAGGTTTTCCGCTTCAAGAGGTTAAAGGTCTTCAAATCCTTAGATTCCATATTGTAAGAATTGATCTTAATGAACTAGGATTTGCTCATGACAAAATTCTGTCGTCATTTCCAAGTTTTGTTTTAGGGAAATGCTTAGAAAAATTCTGACTA